AACTTGAAAACTACAGCTACGAGGTAGTAAATGATTTTATACCGTCATAAGCAAAACTAATAACATCAGGTTTGAAATGGTCTGAGTAAAGTGGGCCACACACGTCAAACATGTGCGTTCGATCGGTGTGAATCGAAGCAATGTTTGATGTGTGTGGTACGGTGTTCACACCGATTTGGCGGTGCGCACACCGATCGAAAGAAATTAAAAATTTTTAATTTTTCGTTGTGTGACGCGCACATGTTTGACGTCTGTGGCCTGGTGTGTGGATATTTTGTCATTTGCTGTGAAATTTCGTGGAGTGCGGATCAGCGGACAATGTCACACATATGCAGAAAAATGTTTTAAAAGAATTTTTGATGTTTTTACACATATCGTACAGTGTGGAAAATAAATATATTTTTCCGGAATAAAATTAAATTATTTAAAAAAAATTATATTGAATAAAAATATTTGGTCTTTTTTTCCGTCACTATCGCTGACCATCTTCACGCTTCAAAAATAAATACGAAATAAAGTTTTATGGATCCGTTTGACGTGTGTGGGCTAGCAGCTTCACACCGATCGAACGCACATGTTTGACGTGTGTGGTCCACTTAAGCAATTCCAAAAAAATGTCATCTGTCGACATGGCTCAAATTCATGGACAGAGTGTGTAGCCCATGTATTTAAATCACTAATGCACAAAATAGTACGATAGCGGTGATTGCCAAACACGTTTTCTCTTTGTCTCTCTTTGCGTCAGTCATTTTTGTTGATGATCTCTCAGTTACGCTCTCACGCACTTACTCTTAATTTAGTTCTGTTCAACACTGATTTAAATAATGTTTCTTTAGTTTTGCGCAATGACGGTTTCAAGGTATTGACCAATAACAAAAATATGGATTTCACTCCGAAAATGAATTGAACATCGATCATCACAATCGTACACCCCCATTTGAATTTTATTTGTTGTAATCACGATAAGATAATTCATTATTATTTAAATCATAGCAACTGTCAACCATTAAAGTACAAAGTACAATTATTGTTTTTTAATCTTGCTTTTTTTATTGAAGTGGGTGATAAATGTTTGCCGGTTTAGAAACGGTGGCAACAATTACCATTGTTATAAGACTAGCCTATTTTTCACTGCTTAGTGGAAGGCCAATTAAATATCTGTTTTGAATCTAGGCACAGGAGGCGGCAGCAAGCAAGTCAAAAAGTCATAAATGCGTTCGGCAATTGTCTTCCTCATGAGCGCTACCATTCTCTCGCGTTACTGTTGTTTGCCCATGGCATGTAAATTGAATCGAACGCCACAAAAGGACATATGAGACACCTATTAAAGTGTTAAATGCAACGGAAACAATAACCGGGTCGAAAGGCAACAGCAGCAGTCAGCCAGCGTGGAACAATGTGAATTTTGTTTCTTTCTTTTTTACCGCGAAGTAATAAATCATGTTCCTAATAATCCGGCGCTATATTTTCACAAAAAATGGAAGAAGTTCGTCGATGAAGGTCTTGGAAAATGTATACTGTGTTCAAGTATTCAAGGTGTATTCAACGAATAGAATCATAGAAGCATCAACTGAAATGATGCATTACTACGAAAAAGGCCACTTAAAATGAGATGAACAGAAGTCCACGAACTTGATATTTCCGAAATTGTTTGAAACGGATTTGGTCCAAAGACACTTGAGTTGTAAAGCCTATATTATATTTACCCTCATTTAAATACTCGTACCTACCATGTACAAAAATATGTACACCATTCTAGTATGAAGTGGAAAGAAAAGTAAACATATATTCAAAATTGAAAATATCCAGTGTTATTTGAGAAATTATCTATGGTTTTATACAATTTTAGTTTAAAATGTTTTCTAAGTTATTGATTTTATTGCTCGTTTACCATCCGCCAATTTATTGTATCCTAAAACGATATTAAAGATAACCAGTTTAAAAACTCCGTTATAACTGGCAGGCGAAGTGAAATTTCGGTTCTCGGTTCTTCACAAAAATAGACCCCGTACCGACATTCCGGCAAGGCGGGAGCCATCTGGGTACCAACAGTTGCCAGAGGGTATTGGTGCTATGCCAAGAGCTTCTGTGCGGTTTTACATGATGTGACTTCACGGCCTGACTCAAAACTATTGATCCCTCGATCCGATTGTAGTCTGTACCATATTTTTGTACGATATATTGTGACTGATATAAATCACTGATTTTATTGTAAATTATATATCCTTAGGCACTACATAAACTACTTCTGCTTAGACTTATCTATTACTATTTATTATAATAAATATAATTTGATCTGTGGATAGTTTTTCCAATCTTGTGCGTCCTAAAATCTCAATACCAACAACAACAGTGTTGTCAGCGTTGCATGTGGGATTTAAGATTCTCCAACGTTCAAATCTTCTGTAATACAAAATTCTGTTCAAAGTATTTTGAACAACTCGTTTATTTCTTACTTAGCTGACAGAACATTTGTTCCATAAGACCATGATTGTCTTCCACTTGATCTTTCCTTCGAATTCGTGGTCATCCCCTTCTACGTGAACTATCTATTGAATCGTTTTTTTTTTATATGCCTTTTAAGCTGGATCATCCTCATCCCTTCTGACCAAGCCAACGTAGTCGCTGCAGCTCGATACGTTTGACTATGTCAATGTCCGAGAATAGATGCTACAACTCAGACGCAGATCGGGGAATTTTCCCCCCACGTACCCATGTTTCCGAACCATACACCAGCACGGGTAGTATCAGTGTCTTGTAGAGTGTGAGTTTGATCTGATGTGGCCTTGTTTCTGTTGGCTAGGGATATACATAGTCGAGAGTAAAAGTCGACTTTTCGATTTTTGCCTCAGACCAAAAAGTCGATTTTTAGACTTTTCGACTTTTGCCTTTGACTAAAAAGTCGTCTGTTCGATCTTTCGTTTTTATCAAACCGACTAACACAAAATCGACTAAAAATTTGATTTTTATATGAAGCGGTGTACACACTATCATTTTTGACTGTCAACTTTTTTATCGATTACTGACTGTCCAACATCCATAAATATTTTTGTGGTTGCCTGATGAATGATAAACATGTCAGGCCACACTATCAAACAAGCAAAATTTGGGCAAGAGTGCCATTCAAAAATGCTAGTGTGTACACCGCATGAATTGTTGACAACAGATAAAATAAATAAAGTTCTGTATTGCGTACATATTTTTAGGGCAATTTGGACTTTGTGATAAAAATAACCAAGTATTTATGAAGAAAATCGAAAGTCGTTGTTGAAAAGTCGACTTTGTGATTAACTCAAATATCAAAAGTCGATTTCGACTTTTATATTTTTCAATACAAAAAGTCGATTAATCGAAAATCGATTTACTTATCCCTACCCCTACTGTTGGCCAACACTCTTTTTCTAGTTTTGTTTATGGCGGTACCAATATATATATATAATCTTTGGCTACCTCCATTTCTGTTCACCTTTGCCTCTCGTATGACCTTTTTCAGCAGGATATTAAACAGATCACACGACAAACTGTCACCTTGTCTGAATCCTCGTTCGTTATTAAAAAGCTTCGAGAGGTCCTTTCCGACTTTAAATGCTGACCTAGAGCCAATTAAAATTATCCTGCATAGCCGTATTAATTTTGCAGGAATGCCAAACGCTGAATGGATAGAGCTGTCGAATGCGACGAATAGGTGGAATGTGACCATGTGTTTTTCATGGGTCTTTTCAGGGTTTGGACCAAGGAACAATCGTGGATTTGTTCACGAAAATCGGTCAATAGCTGGTCAAATTATTTGTGAAAAATGACTCCAAAAACAAATCCGCAGAAAATTAGAGTTCAGTGGTAGTTGTGTAGGGTATCATATGATTGGCCCCGTCCCACTATATTGATCCGCTTACTGGTTTTGTATTATAAATTTCTGAAGTGTTTATTCTAAATTCTCACGGGTAAAATCCTGTGTGATTTCTTTTGCGCAAACATGACAACCCTACGATCTTATTCTCTTTAAATTTCTCTCTTTGAAAAATAAAATATTTTTTTGTATAATTGATTTCACGTTCAGTATAAAAGTGTTGCTCCATGTAGTAAGACGATTTCCGTTTTTCGTTAAGTAAAGCGTAGCGCGTGCTGTCACAAAAACAATACGTAATTTGCGTGCATGAACGCTTACTGTGCTTAGTCAGAGATAAACATAAACAAATAAATATTAAATTTTAATAATTAATAGACACCGGTCGATATGACTTCCAAGGTATTTAGCAATGTTTGTGATTTCATTGAAATGTGCGAGTGGACAATATCCTTTTTTTGACATATGTACATCAGTTTTCAATACAGTCATGTTGTCGTTTTTAGAACATGGCATAATTACAAAAGGTGGTCTCATTTGAGAATTGGGTTGTCTTTTGTCTGCAGGCAGGTCAAGTTCGAAGATGGGATATATCGGTCCACGTTTAGGCATAGCTCCCATATAACGGTACCTCCCAATTTTCGGTATTGTGCGGTTTTTCACCGCGTTTTCAACCAAATTCGCTGAAATTCGATACATTGAGTTCTTCTTGTGTCCCAAATATCTCCACTAAAAATTATAAATATCGGTCCATTTTGTATGGTAGCCCCCATATAACAGTACCCCTCAATTTTCGGTATTTTGGCTGTAATATAGTATTTTGAGTTCTTCATAGGTTCTAAATCTCCCCACAAAAAATTATAAATATAGGTCCATATAAGGGTACCTCGGAAATAGCATCAAATTTTAGAATATTGGTCAATTGGTCACCTTTGGCACGAATTATGGCCTTCAAAAGGCTAATGAAACCGTCACTCGCCGTCCGAATATTGCTTTGCGGTATTTTGGCCCATTCCCAGCGAAGCGCTTGCTTGAGGCAATCGACACTTTGGTATTTATTAATGCCAACCTTGCTTTCCAAAATACTACAAACACAATAGTCCAACGGATTGGTATCCGGAGATTTTGGTGGCCATTGTGTGCTGGAAATGAAAAGGTGGCGCGTGCTGAGTGTGATGGTGCTGAGTCCTGTTGGAATGTCCAGGGTCTGCGGCCAAAATGTTTGCGTGCCCAAGGCTTTAATACACCCTCCAGAATATTTTTGCGATAATATTCGGCATTTATTCTGATGTCACGGTCGATTAATACGAGCGGAGAGCGACCATCGACTGTTATGGCCGGCGTTTGGGTTCTGTTGGCCAACCGAAGGTGCACATTTTCAGCTGACCTCTTTGGCAAGTAAATACGATAATTTTGTTTGTTTACAAACTGCTGGACAACGAATGTTTTCTCATCGGAGAAAACCAAATTCGGCAGTACACCACTTTCGGCCAAGCAAAGCAACTCTTTAGCTCTTTTGAGTATATTATCTTTCTGTTGAGGTGTAAGCTCTTGCACTTTTTGGAATTTCAATAGCTTTACCCCGAGTTCATTTTTCAATTTTTGCCGAATGGAATATTGCGATATGTTCAGATCACAAGCCATTTTTCGGTACGAGACGCAAACTATTTATTGACATTTAAATGCTGGAGTGCTCTAACGATAGCCACTTGTAGTTTTCCAGCCAAATATAAAGGAATCGCACATCGAAGTGTTTTTTTTTATTTCCTCGTCTTCGGATTCAAAGGATGAGTACAATGTGGCATTCAACCTCACACATTTGGAAATGTATCCAAGACAAAAGTTTTTAAAACACATATTAAACATCAACTACTTATGATATCCCAGTTATCTTCCTTTCAACCTTGCCGGCATAGATTCTACTAAGTTTTCCGTGTAAGATATCTGAATTTTTCCCCATTATATTTGTAAAGCATTTTTAAGACTTGGTGAGATGTTATGGCTTCTAATATTCTTTTTTTCCCAAAATACTCCATAAGTTCTCTATGGGATTCAAATCCGGGGACTGAGCAGGTGTTTAAAACACTTTTAGACAATTATAAAGCATCCATTCTAGAATGATGTGGGACATGTGTTTGGGTCATTATACTGATAAAATTGATAAAATTTGTTCGTGGTTATATAACATGAAAGGATAAAAAGCTAATAAGAAGTATTAGGAGGAAGTTGGGAACCCACTTTAGATTAAAGCAAGTTCCATAGTTTAAAAGATGATTAGAAAAGGTGGAACGTGAGCACCCACTAGTATGTGTCGTCTGTAGGTCTGAACTGGACAGCGACACAGGAGATGTTTAAATGTCTCCGTCTCCTCCTCTTCAGCAGAGAGTCTGCAGTAATCGGTAACATCATGGTCCCATTTACTAGTAAAGGCTCTGATATTGCCAGTAATGACTCCTGTCAATACTCTAATTTCAGCTTTGCTCAGGTTTAACAGTGAGTTTGTTCACTCAGAGTCTGCCAGATAGATCTTGACACATTGCACCTAGTTTCGTTGTGCCAGAGTTCATTGGCTCGTTCGTCGAAGAACGCCTCAAAGTTCCGAAAAAGTCGACAGATGGGTGGTTTTATTGAGCAATCGATTGCAAGATCTGTAGATTGAAATCCTCGTCTGTTACCCAACACATCCGATAGCTGTAAGTGATTGTTTCCAAAACTGCTCTACACTCGAGGAAGACCTCAGATTTTTATCAATTCCGCAGCCTTCCAAATAGCGAAGATTTCAGCTTAAAACAGTCTATCACAGTAGACGACAGCCCCTATACCTTCTTCCATCTTGGATCCGTCTATATAAAAAGCCTCACCGCCCTGCAAAGGAGGGTTGCTACGGTTCCAGTCGGCTCTACTAGGGATAACGACAACTATATCGTCAAATCATTGGCTTAGTTTTACGCGTTGGTCATACCCAGTTCGTTCAGGATAAATCCATGTCCATAGGGACAATTTCGCCAAAGATTTTGTTCATGCAGCTTTAAGGGGGAAACACATACGAGGATTCAGGCATGGTATGTTAAGTTGGCTTTATATGAAATGTCGTCTTATAAAGGAATATCAGAGCCAAACTTGAATTTGGACGCAGTTCTCCTTTATTCTTTTTACAATGAAAGAAGCCAACTTAACATGCCAATCCTGAAGTACTCTTCGTTTCCTCTTTAGTGGGAAGTGCACGCGCTGCCTGACACTTAATGCTGAGACACAGATGCCTTAAGTTTAGCACTGCGTTCAGAGCTGCTTGTGGGGTGCTTCTCGCGGCTTCAGTTATTAGTTTGTTCGACTTGTGGGCAAGCAATGTCATCAATAGGACTGTGTTATACAACCAGTGTATGATCGATGGTTTTAGCCACCAAATTTTCCCAATGAAGTTCTTGTATGCATAGAGTGCAATCTGCCCTCTCTTCGCCCGTTCCTAATCCATTTGCTTCGGGCGACAGATGAAACTGCACTCCATCCAGTGTTGGTGGAGCAAAGACGCCGAGCTTACGTTTCCTAGCGAACATTACCAATTCTGTCTTTGTTGGATATACTTCAAGGTCGTTAGCCTTGCCCGGGCGTGACAGCGTCGATAAGGCTCTTCGCATAAGCTCCGAGATTGTTGACCGAAATTTTCCGGAAATCAATATGACCAAATCGTCCACAAAGACCACGCTTTTGATACCTTTCCCGTCCAGTTCCATCAGTATGTTATTGATTACCAATAGCCATAGCAACGGCGAGAGCACCCCGCCCTGAGGAGTACTTCTTGTTACTGTTTTCCAACAAGTATTTTCGTCTCGCCTACATTTTATTTATCCAACAAGTGGTTGAGTGGTTTACGGAGACTCAAGCTTAACGTTGTTGAAAGCTCCTTCTACATCTAGAAAGGCGCCCAACGTAAAGTTCGAGTTTTCCAGTGCCGAATCCACAGACTTGTCTTTTATATAATGCATTACCTCACCGATGCGTTTTGTACTTATTTTAATATAGAAAATTATTATTTTTCCAGCCCTTGTGTGTTATTGTTATTGTTGGATTTGATCAAGATAGAGATGGCCTAAATGAAGATATTTCGGCAATTAAGGATGCATTCTGCGAGCATTTTAACATTAAACTGGAGATGTTAATCAACGAAAATCGTAAAACAATAAGTGACAAATTTAGCTCGTGTAAGTAATCAAAAAGTTGTTTTCTTTTTTCATTTAGTTTTAGTATTCAGTGTGCGGTATTGATAGTGGGCCATCAATACCGAACACTTGAGCTCGATGCGTAAATGTTTATATACGAGTACAATTTCTGTTTTTATTTGTTTCCTTTACAGTTCACACCGACGACCAATGGCTAGAAATATTTAGAAATGCACACTTCGTTGCCGTTTTCTGCCTCTCCCACGGCACTGCAGATGGTCAAATTGAACTCAAGTCCAAAAACGAAATAAGCGATGCCCGACGATTACTATTATGTCCCCTATTCAAAATCCAAGAATTGGATTATAAACTGAAATGGTTGGTGGTTCAGGCATGTCGTGGTGAACTAAATAATTATCGACCATTGCAAAATGATGGTGAGGACCAAGTATATCCCAATCATCATTTCATTTCGTATTGTACTGGTGAAGGTACGGAGAGTTTTCAGCGTGGCACTGGCGGTAAAGTGTACATCCAAGAGCTGTGTAAAGAAATCAAAAGGAATATACGAGAGAAACGATTATACGATATGATAGAAAGTGTTAACACAAGGATTGGAGAGTTTGCCAAGACACAAGGTTCGACGACCTTTCAAAAACCTGCATTCAAATATAGCTATGAGGATTACACTTTCTTCTGAAGTGTTCAACTGGAAAAGTAGATATTTGATCCAACCATGGATCATCAATCTGTTGATGAATATGATAAAATGCCAAAGATATGATTTTCAAAAAAAAAAAAAAACACTGCCTTTTTAATTGGGAAATAATAATAAAATAATTTGTTTTAACATAAAATCCGATTAAAATACAGTGGACTCTCGATAATGTGAACAAATAAATGTCGGGGTAATTCATATTTTCCAATTTGTTCACAGTTTCGATTCGACCAGCTTATTTAACAGTAATGTCAGTTTGAGTGTTCATATTAGCGGGAGTTCACTGTATTCATTTGCAGATATTTATGTAGTATATTTCAATGTGCCATGTCAGGTTTTAACAATGTTAACAAAAATGGCTAACGTCCCTCCTTACCGAACATTATGGCAAACACATTTTTTTTAATTACAGCAACTTTGGTGGGAAAATTGACAGACATTCTGGACATTTTCAATAATCCGTGACCAATTGAGACGATAGCACGTCCCTCTTTGGAATACAAGAGCTTTGAAGAAGGGTCCTGCACAAAATAGTAGAACTCTGAAGATGTCTTCAATGTTCCCAATAAAATAAGAATCTAAAGACTAAACTAAAGAGGTCCTCTACAAAATAGGAGAATACCTCTGAAGAGTTCTCATATCATATAGAAGTCCACTATAGCAGTCTCCTTGATAAGAGAAGTAATATGTTGCAACCTCAGCATCCTATGTCCCGACATGTGCCAACTATAGAGGAATTATACCACCCAGCCAAGATGAGGTCAGAATAGCAATCAATCGGCTGAAGAATAATGAAGCAGCCGAACTATTCAAGACTGGTGGTCAGATGCTGGTCAGGAGCAAACACCAGCTGATTAGTACAATTTGGCTAGAGGAATGCATGCCCAATGATTGGAACCTCAGCAACCTGTGTCCAATGCACAAAAAAGGTGACAAGACGATATCTGTTAACTATAGAGGAATAAGTCTCCTTCCCATCGCATATAAAGTACTATCCAGCGTGCTTTGTGAACGACTGAAGCCAATGGTCAATGACGTTATTGGACCATACCAATGCGGCTTCAGACATGGCAAATCCACCATTGGCCAGATCCTACGAAAAACACATGGACACATTCCAACTATTCGTCGACTATAAAGCCGCATTCAACAGCCCCATCCGTTCAGAGGTGTTTGGCATTCCTGCAAAAATGGGTCTGACAGTAAATGGCGAGAAGACTGATGGTATCAATGCGCAAGACGTCCAGTAGGCTTGGACCACCTGTGGAACTTGAAAACTACAGCTTGAGATAGTCAACGATATTAACACTAGAACGCCGAAGGCAGTCATTTTGACCGCTTTCCAATTTCAAGTAAAAAAGCAACTGTGCATTTAATGACACTTTTTTTTAAATTTGGCGACTTTTTGTATCTCATAGAATTACGTTTATTATAAAAAAATCCCCAAATTTAAAATAAAAGTGTCATTAAATGCACAGTTGCTTTTGTACTTGAAATTGGAAAGCGGTCAAAATGACCGCCTTCGGCGTTCTAGTGTTAAATACCTCGGTACCGCCATTAATACAATTAATGACATCAATTTTGAAATTCGGAGAGGGATAGTGTTGGTCAACAGATGCTACTATGGACTGTGTAAGTAATTTGGAAATAAGGTCACCTCTCGCCAGCCCACACTAGCAATCTACAAGACCCGTGCTGGTGTATGGATCTGAAGCATGGGAACTTGGGTAGCTCTTGGAGTGTTCTAGAGAAAAAATCTCCGATCTGCGTCGACGGTGAATATCGACGTCGAATGAACCACGACATGGACATCGATATAGTCAGACGTATCGAGCTGCAGCGATTACGTTGGCTAGGCCATGTTGTACGAGTGGCATTTAAAAACAAGGCAACTGATGGTTCAGACTGAAGGGGAAGGCCATGAATTCGATGAAAAGATCAATTGGAGAATGATATATCAAAACAGGGTCTTTCAAACTGGAAAAATACTCACGTTCGGCTTATGGAACAAATATTCTGTCTCGATCCAGCTAAGTAAGTATGTACAGGTTATCTTTATAATGGGAAATCTCTAAAAAGATTAACTACAAACTGACGACCTCTGAAGATGTCCTCCATAGAATAAAAGAAAAGTCCTCTATAAAATAAAAAACCTCTCAAGAGATCAACTTTAGAATACGTAACTCTTGTGTAAAGGTTTTATATAAAGCAAAAAGCCTCTGAAGAGGCTCTTCAAGTATCGAAGATCTGTGTTTGTTCTCTATTTAATAACAGAACACTTGAGAGATTCTCTAGAAAATAGAAGAACATCTTCAGAGGTAATCTATAGTATAGAAAACCTCTAGAGTTCCTCTATCGCGTCGGCTGTTTTAGTTAATTCTATTCAGACTAGTGATAACTAAATTGACTTTTTGTAAAATGAAAAAGTCGTCTGTTGATCAACTTTTCAACTTCGATTTTCTTTATATATACTTGGTTTATTATCTCAAAGCCCAAATTCCAAAAAAATACACATTCCAGAACTATATTTTATTTGTTGACAATTCGTATAAAAAAATCAATTTTTTAAGTCGATTTTGCATCGATCGATAAATGTCGAAAATCGATTTTGAACGAGTTTGACAAAGTCGAAAGATCGAAAAGGCGACTTTTTGGTTAGAGACAAAATCGAAAAGTTTAAAAGTCGACTTTGGCGCTCTACTACGTTTTGACCACATTTTTCGCCCGAATTAGCTGTAACTCAGTACTTTGAGTTTTTATTGGGTAGCAAATCTCTCCACAGAAAATTATAAACGTAGGTCAATTTTTTCGGTTAGCCCCCATATTAGGGCATTTTCGGTATTTTGGGATTCTTAAGTGCGTTTTTCAACCGAATTCCCTGAAATTTGGAACATTGGGTTTTTATTGTGCACCAAATATCTCCACTAAAAATTATAAATATCGGTACACTTTTTCTGGTAACCCCCATATAAGGTTTTTATCGATTTTTTGACCTCCTGATGGAAGAATTGAAACACAAAACTAAAATATTGGGTTTGAAATAGACATACATCGGTCATTGCAGTAGTCTGAGGATTGTACACTCTACCATACGTTAATAGTATCAGTCCACGCTTTGGGGATTTAAGATTTTAGGGGAAAAAATTAAAAATTGCTGAAATTTGTATTTGGTGTCCACGTTTTGGTATGTTCCCTATATTTTCATTTCAAGTATCTGTCAGTATACCTATGGTGGAGGGTATCCACAGTTCGACCCGATAGATCTTATCGCTTTTTTCACTTGTTTTTTTTTAGTTGTGGAAGAAGAAATACCCGAAATGGATTATCCTATGTTTTCAAGGTGTTGTAATCCTCTAAGTGTCTTTAATACGAAGAGCTGTGTCTATATTTTTCAATATGGCAGTCACCTTTACATTTTTCCACAAACAAATAGTCTTATTATCACCGCAGTGTCGGGTACAAATTTATATTTCTCAGATCTAGCGATGCTTACCTTATGTAAGTTGTACCATTCAAAATAACAATTTTTGGATTTATTTTTTATAATTGTTTTTATTTAAATATTTTGTTTTGTTTGTTTTTTTTTAGTTTTTAATTAATAATTTTAAGATTGTTTTTGTTTTTATTTGAAGGTGTAATGGAAAATTAAAATTAAAAAAATTAAGAGGGAAAAATATACATAATTTGAATACACAATCTAGATTCTAAATTTCATGAATTTGTTTTGTTGTTGTAGTTGTTTAGGTGAGAAATGAGAAGTGTTTTGTTGTTCTTTTTTTCTTTATTTGTTGTTGTGTTTTTTTCGAAATTATTTTTAGGATAAGAAGAGGTGGAATTATTTTTTAGAAGTGATTTTCAATGCAAAGAATAGATAAACAAAATATTGAATTTGGTGGTAGTGGTGTTTGTTGTTATTTTGCTGTTGGTAATAATATATGGTTGTTGTTGTTGTTTTTATTTTGTTGTTTTGCAAGCAATAAAGGTAAAACAAAGGGAATACATTATTTAATAATAATAATCATTTTCACCATCAGGTGCTGAGGGGGAAAAATAAATAAATTTTGTATTTTGCTTTTTCTTTTGTTATTCTTTACAATATTTCTTCTTCTTCTTCTTTTGCTTCACCACACATAAAGACATGTTACTTCAAAAATAAAAAGTATTGTTAATAACCCCATTATATTTTCGCTACTATAAATATGTATGTGGTTTAAGGAGTGGTTTTTGCATTTATTTATTTATTATTTTATATCAAACACCCTGCTCACACGTCGTCTCCATACTCTGCCCAAATGCAAAATAAAAATAATAAAGAATCTACAAAAGTGACCCCCCTTGGTATTTTGCATTACTAAACAAACATCCAAGCCAATTGCAAGTTGTCGTCACCAGCAGTTGTTGTTGTTTTTTATTATTATTATCACTTCTATTACCATTTCATCTTCATCCCCCGACCAGCAGACCGACAATTTATAATTTAATTCGCTCCTCCATCATAATCTTCTTCCTCCTCCTCTCGTTCATTAGTTTCGTTTCTATACATGTTTGCGGTATTACTACTTCAGTCTTCGACAGCATACTTTTGGGTCCATTCACGGGCATTCTTAATGGCCTCAGCCTCATTGACTTTCCATAATTCAGCGACATCATTGGCCAAAGGATCATCGGGATTTGGGGCGCTGAGCAGTGCCTGAATCGATAATAATATGGTGCGAATTTGTAAGGCAGGACTCCATTTATCCTTAAGTACATCCAAACAGATGCGGCCCAGACGATCAATATTTGGATGATAGATTTTCGTAATGAATCTAACTTTCGGTGCCGACATTGGATAATCTTCGGGCAAAAAGAGTTCCAATTTGAAGATGCCACCCTCGAAGGGCGAATCAGTGGGACCTGTTACAATGACATGGAAATATCGTGCATTGTTCTCATCGGGAATGGCATTGATACCCGGTACGGGTTCTTGCATTAAACGCTGTGTTTCCTTGATAATGCGACGGGGTAAACTGGACATCTTTTTGTTAAATTTGTTTGTTTTTTGTTTCTACTTAGAAAAGAAATGATAGATAATAATACAATCTGTTGTAATCTGTTGTATATCCCCTCTCTTTGGGTGTTGAACGTCTGGTCGGTCTGTCTATCGGATGCACTGAAGCAGTGACTGCTTTAATAATTCGGTTTGGAAACACTGAAAATAGAAATATGGGAAGTAAAAAAGAAAAAAATAATTATTAACTGCTTCTATATGAGGAGTTACTACAATAGCTATGATGTTAGATCAATATGACGGCACATCCCTAAAATGACTCAATTATCATTGTCCTTGGAAAAGATTTATTTAATATACAGATAAGAGAGCATGAACTTGGGCCGGTAAGTAGATACAGTTCAACGATCTATTTTCATATCATGTTTGCGATTAGTAAATGCGGTATACCGCGCGTTGTGGTACAGTTCTCTGCGGTACAAGGTATAATGTCGATGTGCATGTGTTTAAAATATGCAAAAAGAAATAATATAGACCCATAGTTATTTTTGAGTTTATTTTGGTTTGTGTTTGTACATTTATGATTATATCTGGTATATATGTACTTTTGATCGATTTCTGACGTTTATATCTATTATGAACTCTTTCTCATTCTCCTGATTTAGCTCCCAGTGACTTTTACTTGTTCCCAAATCTAAAAAAATCCTTACTGACAATTGTTTTGCCTCAAATGAGGATGCAATTACAGTTGTAAACCACTATTTTGAAGACCCTGAGGAAAACTATTTTAATCAAGGGATAGAATTGCTAGAAAAGCTTTGGACTAAGTGTATTGAAGTTTCAGTAGATTATATTGAATAATAAAAATATTAATGTTTTGATGATGTTTCGGCTAAAGGTCAATGAAAAACTTTTGTTTTTGTTTTATTTGGTCAAACTGTCAGTTTGACTTTGACATTTAATTTAAGTAGACGCTTTTCCTTTACAAATTATAAAAAAAAAAAACTTTATCCCTGATGATGATTGTCGATGACAATCTAAATATTGGAAGAATAAAAACCAAATAAAACAAAAACAAAAGTTTTTCATTGACCTTTAGCCGAAACATCATCAAAACATTAACAATTTGTCAGGTCAACTATAAATATCAACAGTAATAAAAATATTTTTGAAACACTAACTATTATCTTTCATTGATAGTCTATTAAGTTTCCGAACCGCCCTCGTATACTTTATGGGGTCACTGGTGAATATTTATAAAAGGTTAAATAACATTTCGACCTGCGAGAATGCCGCCTTGGCGAACTAATTTCTTGGTACCTCTTTATGAGGATACAAGATTCATACTCGTCCATCGACGCAACCAAATACTGCATAGCTAACACATACCCAACATTTTACCTAGGATCAAACGACACATTGCACCTAGTCAACTGCCCAGCAAAGCCTACTCACTTGTCTCCAAATTCTATGCGGACGCGACCTATACAGGTTACAACATTCCTGATTTTAAATACATTTGCATGACATAATCATAAAAACTTTGAATTATATGGACCGTAATATCGATTCAAATAAGCATTTCATGCATTACCAATTTTTTTTTTAACAAAACTTCTGACACTCATATTGGAAAATTATACGCCTTGGGCCATCTATGATTCCAAATATCGACCGATATCTGCCATGTTTAATAGGATTTACCATTGCCACCAAATAAGAACAATAAATATCGAAAAAGATCCAACACGGTTTTTAATAAAAAGATTTACTATCCGGTGAGGGGATGTACCTTTATATGGTGGGCTTATACAAGGAAGTGGACCAATATTAATCATTTTTATACCCTTCACCACAACATAGCGTACTAAATTAAGTCTAGAGTGATGTATGTTAAGTTTCATAAAAATCTGGTCAGATTTAGATATAGCTACCATATATATTTTCGTCCGATTTTGGGTCCCTATATGTCCTTCGGTTTGCACGAAATTTTGCATAGCGTACTGAACTAAGTCTGGAAAATTGGTTCAAATTTAGATATAGCTCCCATATATATTTTCGTCCGATTTTATGTATATGGTGCACCAAAGTCCTTATATATGTTTTGATTTGCACGAAATTTGGCATAGCGTCTGAATTAAGTCTAGAAAATCGGTTCAGATTTAGATATAGCTCTCAGATTTAAGGTAAATAGTGCATTAAAGTGCCTTTATATCCTTCGAATTGCACGAAATTTGGTATATCGTAATGAATTGAGTCTAGAATGATGAGTGGTAAGTTTCGGGAAAATCGGTTCAGATTTCGATATAGCTCCCATATATATTTTCGTCCGCTTTAAAGTAAATGGGGTGCCAAAGTTCTTAAATCTTTCATTCTTTCGAAAAGGCGACGTCTGTTAGGATATATATTTGGAATATACCCAAAGTGGTGAAGGGTATCATATGGTCGGCCCAGTCCGACTTTACTACTTTCCTTACTGATTGTTATTCAAAATGTGCCAGAAATTTATACCATTTCGCTAATTTTTATGGAGAATGGCCGGGGATTTATGACTTTCTCGTATGGATAGATATCAACATCTACGCGACAGAACATTTACTTTCTGTAGAACCGGATATAAGCGGGTAACTGTACCTGAATTTCCGGGTCAAATAACCGGGTAATTCCCTCAAGGAAAAAATATCTTCCCATAATTAGGGTAAAAATATCTACCTCTGTTAAATTAAAAAAAAAACTAGAGTTAAGCCCAAAATGGGGCGATTTTCCTAATATTGGAGCCCCATATTTCGGGAAGTATACATTTCCCCTCCCAAAAAAAAAGATGTCGTGATCAGGATACTAAGTGTATTTTAGAATTTTCTGAGAGGTGGCCATAAAGGAAATATAAGCCAAAAACAGTTTTCTATTAAAATTAACAAAATGGTGGACCTTTGAAAAAATATTTTTGGAAAATCGCCGATTTTTTACCAAAAACCAAGTTAAAAAATAAGGAAGTTCTTCACCGATTGCTTTATCCTAGTTCATACGAGAGCTATACACTCTCAGAGAAACGTTGCAAAATTTGGAACCGATTGGATTATTAGTTTTTGAGTTATCGTGCCCACCATTCGCAAAAAAATGTTTAGAGAAAAACGCGTTTAAAGTTTGAGAAGCCCTTCAGCCGTCACTTGATGCTGACACAATAAATCGGCTATATCTTCAAGAGTTCTTGAGATTTTCACTTGAAATTTTGTAGAGGCATTCTTTAATCAGTGTAGATTCGAATTATATCAACAAAAATTTTGACCCCGAAAATGGGGGGTTCCCTTAAAAGAATTACGATTGTACAACACGTGGTGGAGGGTATATAACAAGTTCGGCCGAACATATCAACGTTTGAACATTTGAACGTTGGCAAATTTGCTACTAAGTGAGAAAATGTGGTTGAAGAGATAATATAGTACTTAAAGGGTACAATCCGGTTTTTGCACCCGAAGTTCCAAATCGAATAACCGGGTACGGAACAACTCTAATTTAGTAAACGCGATCAGATTTTTCTGAAAATTTTATGCAGAAGTTGGTATTTTTACCCTAATTATGGGGATATATTTTCTTCGGGTACGTACCCGATTACCCGGTTATTTGACCCGGAAGTTCGGGTACGGGTGCCCGCTTATATCGGGTTCTATGGATTTTTCTGAAAAATTTTTTAAAGGTAGGTATTTTTACTCTAGTTATGGGGATATCATTTTTTTGGGAGGGACGTACCCGATTACCCGGTTATTTGTACCGGAAGTTTGGGTACGGCATCCCGGTTATATCCGATTCTAGGGATCCGGTTAATGTAAGATAGTTTAGTAAAAATGATCAGATTTTTCTGAAATTTTTTCTAGAGGTAGGTATTTTTACCCTAATTATGGGGACATCTTTTCTTTTTGGGGGACGTACCCGGTTATTTGACCCGGAAGTTCGGGCACGGATTCCCGGTTATATACGCACCATTTTGGAAAGGGCAAATTGTGGTCTATAATTTGGAGAGGCACTATAATGGATACAAGTTCGACTTTTAGGGGATTTTTCAATAAATCGGGGTCCAAAACCCAGTTTTTCGACTGTATCTCCAAAATGGTTTGAGATAACGCCATCGTATCACCACCAAATGGAAAGGTATTATAACCTTTAAAATGATACCCATTTTATATTAACCGGTTCCGTAGAACCGGATATAACCGGGTACCCGTATTCAAACTTCCGGGTCAAATAACCGGGTCTGATAGTTTTAACTAAACTAGAGTTAAGCCAATACTTCTAAAACAAAATTAAACTTTTTTACTAAACTGTAGTTGTTCCCAAACCTGGCCTATTCCATCAGACTAATCGCATAATGCACATTATTACGGCGTTAAGTTGGCAACTCTGGTAGGTATTAAATATATTTTAGAGATTCTCTTACAATATTCACTGGACAAAACGAATTGCAATTTTTATTTTCTTATTGTCCACTCAAATACAAAATACTTTCTGCAGATATGTTTTTTTATTGTTTTTCTGTTTATTTAGATTTCAACGATTTTTTCTTTGTTAGAAAATGTACAAATCTAATTAGTCACTTCGATGTTTTTATGTTATTTTTTCTGCTTCTTCTTCCTTTTGCGTAGAAACCAATAACAATTGTTTTGAACAAGGGTGGGGAGTGAAAAGCCAACAAACACCACCACCAACAACAACGATAATAAAGTGTAACTTAACAAAGAAGAGGAGATGGCTGGGCTGGCTGGTTGTTGTCTGGCGACGAATATTCCAGAAAAATAAATAATAAAAAAAGAGAAGTAAGGTGTTGTTTAATTCAATAAAAAGAATATTCGGATAATCTTTTCCTGGAATTAACAAGACAACTAAAAGGAAAAATACGCCAATTTGTTAGTAACAAATAGCACGTACGGGCAAAGAGCTTCAGCAAAAAAAGTAAAACATCATATTTGCAATCACGTATGCCAAACAACAGTTGTTGTTGTTGCTGTGTTAATGATAAATCCTTTTGTAGAAATTTGTCATTTTTGT